GGGGGGTAGGTACCTATATTATAGGACTGGCATAATACCGCACACACGTATTATTAAAGTGCAGTGGACATAAACTGAAACGTGTATCGGGTATCACACAGCGGAGGTTCTCTCAACGTTATGACCTTTTAAAATATATACTTATTATAGTGTGTTTTGTTGGCAGTTTTTATATTTTTCAGTTTATAACTATGATATTATATTATTGTGTGAATACTGCAGCTTAGTGTAATTTGGTTCTGTAAAATCATTCATATAATATTATTCTGAAGCACGTACAATAATTGTTCTGAACATGTACAAAATATATTGAACGTAATTTGACGTACCTAATACATACAGGATATTATTTACAAACATTTTTTTTTTTAAATTTATGTTAACGAATTGGAGGGCTGGCATATTATATTCCCCTTAGATGGGTACTGCACTAGTATAACTATTATTTACTCTAAATTCTATACACTATAATCCTTCACTCTCTATTATTTCAATGATTGGTATTTACTCATCAACTTTTTCACAAAAAAAAATATTTTCATTTTTTAATTACGCGTGTAATCGCAAAATAAATATAGGCCGTTATTTTAAAAAAAAAATTGGAAAAGGCGATCTACTGTGTTTGCAGAGTGCTGAGTGCGCTATGTAAATGAGTATAAGCAATAGTGCGATGGATAATATGTTGAATTTGAATTCTATGATAATCTATTGATATTTATTATTTAATATAAAAAAATCCAATTCTGAGTGGTTTTGTGATGACTTATTATATTACTAAAAATATTTGTATAAAATATATGTTATATTGCTATTAGCAATTTTGAAGTTAATTTTTAACTATAAGTAAAAGTGCAATACAATACGACTAATTCATTTTAGCCAAAGCATTGGATATTGTATTATTTAATTAATTATTATAATTTTATATTTATATAAATATTTTTTAAATCAATACTTATAGTATAATAATTTTGATAGGTCCATGGCATGAATAGCTTAAAAATGAATCCAAATATTTTTTGTATGTCATTCCGTATGGTAAATATATGTTATATCTAATAATTTAAAGTCCCTATGAATATTTTTTTTTTTTTTGATTACAACAAAATATCTAAAAATTTTTTTTTCCATTTAACACGATCTCATCATAATTTGAAATAATAATAAGTGCATAATAACTTGTATAAAGATTAAAAATGTATTTGATTGATGCATTTTTACTACTCCAAAATGTGACGATAGATAAAAAAAAACAAACATACTTCAATGTAAAACAAATACATTCGTCGCTCCACTCAGAATTTAAAATAAACATTTTATACAATTTTATAAAAATAAGTAATATCTGAAAAATACAACCAACTAGCTTAGTTGTTACAATTTATGTACCTACTCCAATGATTTAGACACATTATTTTTAAAACGCTGAATCTGACTGTATTACATTCGAACAAAACTCACCCTTATATTATTATAGATTTACATGTACGTCATTACGGGGCAGCAATTGTTATTAGACAACATACAATCGAATTAAACATATAATTCAAGGTGCTTTCCACCCCATAATTTTACTCCGAATGACGCCCCTGATACATTATAATATGGGTACTTACATGCGAAACGTATTGATGTTTTATTATTCACTTACATTTACTTATACCCGTTTCAATGATTCAGTGGACAACTGCATAATATTTTTTGATTTTTTTATGGTCTTACACACGTGACCTGATCGAGTCGTCTCTGGTGGTTCCTATACGTGGAATATTATTGTTACTGACCAATAAATCTAGTGGTTTTCCAGTAAACTCATTACCATAGAATTTCTGCTTTTCTGATTTTCATAGGTTCCAAAGTCATATGATATTATTACTATCGTATTATTGTCATCACATATGACCGCCGATAATAATTATGGTTTTAAGTTAATCGACTGAAACTGTGTATGAGAACTATCAAAATTCACAGCCAAATTCAAATTTTTTCCGTTTTATTAGTAATTTAAGGATCCAGAGGACAATACGCGAACTGCTTACCATTTTACTTTATTAGAGATTAGAGACGTATACGTATTAATGTTCGTTTTTATATGAGCTATACCTGCTATCTTATGTTTACCGAGTTACTGCAAAATATAAAATGTATATTGATTTGAATATATTGATTTGAAACCGTATAATCGTGTGGCTAAAGATTAAAGCAATAGTTACTTACTGGATCTGAGAAAATCTAATAACACTAGTTGGTGTTACGAAAATCAAATAACTTTCCTGTAGTAAACTAACCCGACCATTACGCATAGGTGATATACGCGTTGCCTAGTTTACAAATGGATCCGCCGACACGCGGAATGGTGAACAGGGCGGCTAGGAGCCATTGTGTAACCGTGTGCGGAACGGTTAGGTTAGGTGTAGGAGAGGCCGTGACATGAACAACAACAACAACAACAACAACAAAAAAGAGGAAAAAGCGAGAGAAAAGAATAATCATTTCGCTTTTCCGCGTGATACGCGCGTTAGATCTGTCGGTTAGATAATATATTATATATACGCTTTTTTGGATTTTCTGCCCAAGTGACTGCAGTGCTCGGGAGTCGGGAGGAAAAAAAATACGTCTAGCTATAACGAGATTTCTGACTTACGGACCGATCTCGTGTGTGTATAATGTGTATGTGAATCACGAAATCGGCGTGTGTGTGTGGTGTGACGCAACTACGGTGCACCCGGAGGGATTAACATCGTCTCTCGGGTAAGTGCGGTGCAGTTATCTTTAAAAAATCGCGAGAGGACGTTTTTGTCGTGCGCGATACCGGCTGAAATTAGGAATGAGGAATCCCCATGAGGTTGTTCATCAGACAATTTGAATAATATCGCCGAATTTACGTACAACTATAATCACGGTGGAAAATTGTACGAGAAAAGAAATTACTTGTACCCACTATAATACCGCGTGACAACAGTTTTCGCCAAATTCTTTGCAGCCCTCGAGTTTCTGATAACCCCTCCCACTCCCCGAGAGTATGTGTGTACTATAAAAAAACGTTGTGTGGGTTAACCGGTATCGGTGTCAAACGAGATGAAAAAATGGGAGAAAAACATTTTTAGTCTTTTTTTTGATACGCCACGTGTACCAATACGCCTAATTGATACGGTGAAATGAAATGCGTAATGCGGAATGAGCAAAATACGGAGGAAGTAATATCATTTATACACGTGTGTGTAGGTCAAAATAAAAAATAAAATGTGATAAGGGAATAATATATATCACGCACACCCTTATTTATAGATTTATTCGTATGTTTCTAACCCCTTGACATCGCAATGGATTAGAATAGATTTTCGACGGTTATTTATTCCTAAAGACTTATATTGCACCATTATATAGGCCCTTTGTGACGCTCAGTATGAATATATATACCTATTGCCTATCCATACCTAATCCAACTTCAGTCCGACGAGAATTCGCTTATTATACATTTAATACTTGTTAAAAATGCATTTTTCATAACAAAGAGCATGCAATAATTACATTTGAGATAGATTTTTTTTAATCTAAATTTAATGGTAATAGTTACAATAAACGAATATAAAAAATTAATCCGGAAATGTATTTTAAATTGCTTAATATATTAAAAATAAATTACAAAAAGTTCACCGATTAGATTTTACAAATTTAGTTTCTTAAAATCTAGTAAAGCAAATAAATAACCTTTTCAACACAAATGGATTTATACAAGCAATATAAATTCCATATGGCATTAAAATACTTTAGGCATCAGATAAATTAGATTATAAAATTGTAGTTTAAAGACATATATTAAAACAAAAATATACAATAAACTATTTATAATTTTTCAGAACAAATCTTATGGCACTTAACTCATTTCAAATAATTGATATGTTTTTCTTCAACACCGAAAACCATGATTATAATTATACTTATATTTTATAACACTAATATTTATAACTTTATAAGATAACATTGATGAAAAACATAATAGCCATAGCCAAACAATAAATTTAATTATTACTATTTTTTTAAAAATATATATATGCATAATATAAAATATGTACAAACATTAGAAACTGAAAAAAAATTAAATACACTAAAACATTTTTACTTTAATGATAAGTTTAATTGTAAATATATCAATTTTGAATTTGTTCGTGTAACTGTGGAAGGTCTATTTTATTATTATCAAGGCGCATGTAACAAAAATACCAAAAAATACATTTTTTTGTAGCAGTTGGAATGATTATTGTCTCTTCGTTTGGTCGTAAC